ACTGGTGAAAATATTTCATTATAATCTTCTCATTCTTTTTTGTGTGTATTCCCTTGCTACTAGTCTGGCCTTAAACCTCATCTCATCGTCATCTATCAGTTCAGGTTTACGTTTGTAGATCTATTTACAAGATACAAGTCTTTTACCTTTTGGTTTGCTAACAAGCTCCCAAGTCTTGTTTTTGTTTAATGAATCAATTTCTTCCTTCATAGCTTGCTCCCATTTTTCACTATCATTGTATTTTATAGCTTCAATGTAGGTGTATGGCTCAAGTTCTGCAAGTTCATCAGTAACTGCTAGTGCATAGGCAACAAGGTCTGCTTCATCATATTTTGCTGGCGGTCTGATGGTTCTTCTCACCCTATCTCTGGCGAGGTTATAATCACTCAAATCAGTCTGCCCAGTCCCCTGTGCTTCTGATTCCCGATCACTGCCATCATCCTCATAAATCTACTAAGTACTAACTTCTGGTTCAGTACTTGTTGATGTGCTTGGTATGTTGTTAGAAGTGACTTGCCTTTTGATTGAAGTGGGCTCTACCTCAATCTCAAATGTGTCTAAGCCTTGAGATGTTTCCTCTATTGATGTTTTTGATTTTGAGTATGACATACTTCATTCATCAAACTTAACGTCTCTACTTATTATACATTTGCTTCTATTCGATTCCAAACACCACAGTTTGTAACCCTTTACTCCTTCTGGATAGCCTATAAAGATACACTTTAAGGCTCTAGGTTCAAGCTTGCCTTGATTTATGTGAGCATATGCAGTACATCCAAAAGCTCTCAAGTGAGAAATGTTTGGTTTTATTCCACTCCACATCTCCTCAGGCGTTTTGAATTCAACAGTTGATGAAGGTGTTCTATTTATCAAATAACGCGTTGTGGCTGTTGCTTCTCCCCAAAACGACTTGGGCAAGTTTGATTGGGATAACAAATACCTTACCCTTTCCAAAATGGTTCTATTCATACGTTCAGCAAGGTCATTTTGTTGAGTGTTACCAACTATTAAGTGTCTAGCAATACCATGCTTCGAACAAAGTTCATTAAACTCTCGATTTACAAACTTAAGTTCTCTATCAGTCCTGATTTTCTTCACTTTCTTCCCAGTATGATGCTGAACCAAAGTAAGCTAATCCTTCAACTTTAACACTGTCTCACCTTTATGCTTCAAAAAATAAAGTCATACTTTTCTGCTATAGTCATCCACAATGGATATAAAGTACTTGGCTCCTCCATGAGTACTCACATTTGTTGGCCCCTATAAGTCTGCATGAATATAATCAAGCATTTCTTTCGTGCAATGTGTTCCCTTTGTGAATTTTACCCTTGTAGACTTGCCAAAGATGCAATGTTCACAAGTAGGAAAATCATCCACTTGCTTCAAGATTAAAATCCCTTGATTACTCAACTCTTTCATGCCTCCAAACGTGTATGCCACAGTTTTGTAGCTCTGACATTTATATCCACATCATCAGAGACAAGTGAGAGATTTCCTGACACTGTTTGACTACTCAGCACATAAAGCCCATTTTTTAGCTTTCTCTTTAGCTTCAATAGTGAGCCTTTATATATTTTCATCTCACCATTTGCTATCTTGCTGGTATAGCCAAGCGTATCTAAAGTTCTAAGAGAGATAAAGTTTCTTTTTAAGTCAGGGACATATCTCACATCAATCAAAATTTTCACCAAATTATCATGAAGTCTCAGTCTCACCGTGCCAATCCCTTTGATCTCATAGATCTGATTGTTACCAAGGTAAACTTTTCCAGCCTGCAACGGTTTAAAGTTACTTAAGTATTCCTTGGAAGGTGTCATATGAAAAAGACAACCTGAGTCCAAAACCCAATCATCTAACCATTCATTCCCTAAAACCAACAAAACCTCACCTGATTCGTAACCATCCAATACATTTGCTGAACTCTCCCCCTCGGTCTTTTCCTGGTTAGACTGTTTGTTCTTTCCCAAGGACAATTTTTCTTAAAATGCACTTCTTTCTGACAATTGTGACACTTCTTATTTTTGGCTCTCGATTTTGACCATGATTTCCCTATCTACTTGCTGTAATTTTTCTTCTTTGCTCAGCCCTGAGTATACCGTGCTTCACTGTCCTTCTTCTCTAGCTTGATCTCAAGTTCTTTTGATTTCAAAGCATTCAGAACTATCTCCATATCCAAGTTGTCTCTTCAGTACTTAATTGTTGTATTGATTTCTCTATATGAATCGGATAGTGAATTTAACAAAATTACTACTTGATTTTCATCCGACATGTTTTCTCCAATATTGAAGCTAAATCAAAGACAATTTTATTAACTCATCTAAATTTGCATCCAATGGTTTTGAAGGATCCATCCTAAAACCAAAGAATTTCTCCTTGAGATATATCTTGTTCGGCAAAGACTTGACAAGATATAACTTATCTAACTTTTCCCATATCTCTAAGGCTGTGGTGGCATCATCAACCTGTCGTAAAACATTATCCGACAAATACAAAATCAATGTACTAAAGGCTAAATCAAGCATTTCTTCCTTCTCTTATTCCTTCAATTCAGCGGGGTGCTTATTTGGATCATCAAGAGATTGTGCAACCTTTTGTTGCACTAAAAGCGCTCTCATCTTCTTTTCCATAATCCAAAATCATCTTTACTGTCAAATTTCTCTAGTTGAAACTTAGTAGTCATTTTCAAGATTCACCAATAAAAATCTTTCCAAATTTTTCTGATAAATGCTTGCTGTAAAAATACTCAAACGAGGCTCTGATACCACTTGTTGGGTGAATCCAACTTACGCTAACAACATTAAAAATTTAAGAAAAATATATAATAGCAACTAACTAAGTTCCAACGATAAATTCAACAAAATAAATGAGGTAAAGAGAAGAAACGACACATTGATTTATAGTGGTTCGATCAACGTGATCTACATCCACTATGACGACTCATCCATTCCATTCATATCACCAAGAGCAATAACAAATACATGGAGTATTCTCAACAACAATGAGCAGAAAATTACAGTAGAAAAATCCGCTAAAACAACATACCTCTCTCACTCACCATCAATGAAGTTGATACAAAAGAGAGAAGAAGTACCAAAGAGATTTTTGCAAGAGAATGCCCACTAAACCTCTTTGTTTTAGCACCTCACACGCACAAGGGAAGAAGAATTCCCCCCTTCTGCTATTGCTCTTCGGCACCCCAAGAA